TCTGAGGGGTCAAGAGATGTTTCCTCGAAGACTAGTCAAGCACAAGCCTAGAACCTCGATACTAAAAAAAAAAAAAAAATTAAGACCGCACTGGAGCCTACCCAGCTTTTGGAGTGGCTCCGCCTCTGGTAATCACTAAAAAATATTTTCATTGTGTTACACAAAATTGCGTAGATGCTATCAGAATTACGTAAAGGCTAAGAGTTAATCGAGTGGACATAAATTATAATGAAAATAAAGTCCAAACCATGACATTCGGTCTTGCCAAATGGTAAGACAAGAAATAAATTGAACCTTACTTTACGTTAAAAATGAAAAGGTTTATCAATAATGTGGATTTGCTGGTACGCCTGACGCTGAAAACATAAATAAAGAACTTAAAATTGCCACATTACTGTAAAATGTAAATACATAAAGTAAAAGAAATACAAATAGAAATTGTTTCTCATTCTTACATGTTCATTGTCTTATTTTCCCTTCGCTTGTATGTCATTTTTCGTTGCCTATTATTCATTCGCATGAAAATTGTAAAGGAAAACGAGTTGGAGAAAAATTTGCACCGCTAATTGTCTTTTTATATGCATTTGTATGCAATTTAGACACACCTAACCTAACTTGGCCATCCTTAATAGAAAAAGAGGAGAAAAAAAGGAACAAAATAAGACTGGCCCATACGGCATGTTACATAGATATGGAACACGTGTTGTGTAAGATTCACTTTCATTAAATGAATGCATAGGTCTCATTTTATTGAGGCTCAATCTGATCAAAATCTTATAAAGAAGTTCTATAAAGAAAAAAAGTTAATGGAAGTTCAAAACCGAAACAGAGTATTTTGCAATGGGATTTTCATTGAGGCTCATTCTTGAATGAACATTAGAACACAATCAACAGTATTTTGCAATGGGATTTTCATTGAGGCTCATTCTTGAATGAACATTAGAACACAATCAACATATTATAATTTCATTTTGCAATGGGATCTTTATCATGATTGTTCTTCCAAAAGCATTTTTTTTTTGTTTTTCGTTACACATAACGCTTTTAAGCTTTACTAATTGATGTGTCAGAGACTTGAATCTTGGTTGAACGTGCTATAAGAGACCTCTGATCGTCTCTGAGCTGCTGATTACCTGCGAAACAAGTGTCACGGTAGTTTTTGGCGTGAGCACTCCGACACACAAGTCAGTAAGAGGAGGAAGATAATAATGTGCTCTGTATGTAGAGAATAATAGATGATAATGTGCTTTGTATGCAGAGAATTATAGAGAGAGTGTGGGGAGTTTGTAGTTGTACTTCATCCCCCTTTTATAGGAGAATACCTGCTGCCCAAGATTGGCTCCTCAAATTGTCCTATTGCCCGTAGTCAGCCTACCTAACTGCCCGAGTTTTGATCTTATCTGCTGAGTACCCGTTCTTATCCTAATCTCATCTTTATCATCACTTGATTCTTTCTTATTCTCAACAAGCACATATTTACTCACGTCTTTTTCTCTTAGGTCGTCATGACCACGATTACTTAGGTCTCCTCGCCAAGTTATACGCCAATCCTCATGGACTTAGGTTTTTTTTGTTTGTTTTTTTTAAATGAAGAAACACCACAGAAGGATGAGATTAGCTCTGATCCCCACTTGTATATAATTAAGACCCTAACTGGGTCAGAAAAATTACAGGTCTACCCATGTCCAAACAAAAATATAAAAATAAAAAAAATATACAACAACTGATGTAACACCTCGCCTACTATTACTAGACTTTACTAAATTCAGAGTAAAATTTTTGCGTTTTATAATTTGAAAACACTGATTTAATTTTCGAAAACTCTAACTTAATTTTTCGAAAACACTTTATCCTAGAGAGATGGGTTGTGTATCCTCTAACACTCATCCTCCCCAGTCACAAGAGATGTGGTGTATTTATAGGCTACAATAGGGACCCTAAGAAGGTGCTAAATATGGGCTTCCCAAGTTTGGGTCTAACTGTGGGCCAAGCCCACGTTGCTTAAACTTGAATAATATTTCAGTCCACTAAAGAAATATTACTGCACTCTGTTTTTAGCGCCCAAGTTACATTTGAGGCTCCAATAATAATTATCCCATTTATCTCCCCGTGTTTAAGATAACATGTCCATCAATTAATTTAAGTTTTGACAATATAGTTAATTGACTTCTTGAACCGAGACTAGTACCACTAAAATTTTTATTAATATGTCACAATAAATTCCACCGGAATAAATTTCACTTGTCGGGTTTAACATAATAATCCCTCTTGACCTTATCTCGGGGACATCATCAAACTAATGCACACGGTGAACGTAAATAATTTGAGCAGTACACCATACTCACAACACTACTATTTAAAACAAGTTAGTCTATTGAACCAGTTGAATGGATCTCACTTTTTAGTGAATCATAGTAGCTATTGGGTGTGCGTGTCTGTTTATTATCTTACGAGTTAAGAGTAGGTAGTAATTATTGGGTCTAATTTATTTACTTTGTCGGTATAAAATAAACTTATCCTTTGCGGGTTCCATTCAATACACATAAAGTGTACTAATGCAATCAATCAGTCAAGATTGACTGTACAATTAACACTACAATGGTTCGCGATTGGTTTTTCAACCCCATCTAGATTGTGAACCACAATTTATGTTTTACAAGTTACTAATAATATGATCTTTTGTCCATCCGGCATGAACCAATTATATCCAAATGTAAAACATCGTAGATTAGAACTGTTTAACAAAATATGATTCTCATTCAAATGAGAATTGTGATAGCAAATAGTCGAGCTTATAGTATACACACTGACAATACATTAAAAAGGCAAAATGAAAATCAAGATCAGTAATATTACCATCAAAGTTAACTCATTCTAATAATGAATCATGCTCAGTCTTTTGTTTGCCTTCCATAAACTTCATCAACTCCTATGTCATACTTGCCATATGTATAACCTTTGGAAAACTCTCTGCATTCTTCACCTGATTAGCATTGTACTGTTTTGTTCTTCAATTCCTTATACCAGTCAAGATATCTATGGAGTTTAAAGCATTCTTTATGTTCATGACCACTGTAACCACAATGTTCAAAAACAAGTCATGCTCTCTCCTCTTTAGACCTCCTAGGTGTGGAACCTCGCCCTCTTCCTAAGTTCTAACCTTGACCTCTTCCCCTGACCACATTTTTATTTCCTTATTCCCATAATCTATTCATTGCCTATGACAACTATATCAGTAGAATCTGGGTACATAACACTTCTCTTTCTCTTTCTTTCTTCTTGCAAAATGATAGAATATGTCTTGTTCACATATGACAATTGACCCATAAGACGGATTTGGCTACTCATAGAATCATATGTCCCATTCAACCCCATGAGAGAATGCGTCAATTTATTGTGAGAATCCATTTCCAATACTCTTTGCATTGTACTAAAAGTCGGCCTAGGCGTCAAGGCGCTATGCTCTGCCCGACCGCCTCCGATTTGGATAAATCGGCTGAAAAATCAGTCAGGCGACTAGGCGGCGCCTAGGTGGACCTAGGCGGGCTTGGCGGCCAGGCAGTTGAACGGCGCTTAGGTAGGCCTAGGTGGACCTAGGCGCTGCTAGGCGGGCTCGACAACAATTTTTCAATTTTTGTTTATTTTTTTAAATACTAATTACATTATTTTTTCATCATGTTTTCTTAATAATATATTAATATTATTATTTGGACTAAGGTGTGTTGATTTATTATAAGTTGAGATGGTTTTATTTTGCAGGCAACAAAAATAAATAAAAAATAAAATATTTAATTTTAATTTTTAGGCCCCGCATAAGTCCCTTTTGGGCGCTATAGGCGATTGGCGCTTGTCGAGCGCCTAGCGACTTCTAAAGCACTGACTCCTTGGATCTGTCACATCCACACAAAGGTAGAGGTGTCAAAGATGCACACTTGTTCCCCAATCTACTCAACTTTGTAAAGTACAAGACAATTGATGATGTTCCACGCCTATTGTTGGCAATTTCCTTTTGTAAACTAATAAAAAGGGGGGTATTTGATTCCTCAAAGTGGTTATTTATGTTTTCGTATGATTGGAACGCATAATCATCATAAATGATTCCTTGAACTCTTTTAGGAGACAGACAGAGAATTCAGGAGCCATGCAGTTACCATGTAATCGACTTTCTTCCACTCGGAGTAATCATCATCTGCTTCCGACGGAGCTGAAATCTTTCTATTAATGAACTCGAGCTTTTTTTTGCTCCCAGATCTATTAGAACAACTCTTCTCCAGGATGATAAGATCTTTAAATACATCAAATAGTCATGTGACAACACAATCTCTCTGGTCATGTCTCTGCGAAGCCGCGAGTTATGCGCTTGCACAATGGAAATCCAGATCTAAGCTTCTAAAACCATGGCTACATATACCATGTAGAAGATGAGAACTTGAGATTGTTTTGGGGGAAATATCGTTTTCCTTATGTTACTTTTTCATTCATAACAACGGTCACATTACATTTTCTGTATTAATTAGACCAAGAAAGAAAATAAAACAAGCTTTTTGCTAGCTGAATCACGACTAACTAATAAACTAACTACTGTAACTAACAATTGTTACTACACTACAGAAAACTACACATTTCTACACATTTCATTTACCAATAACGTCCTGCATTGCTTCTTACCATTTGTAGAGGAAAAAAGAGCAAATTTCATAGAGCATAGAACGAAACAAACATTCACACAGGAGAAACATATTTTTTTCGCCTACAAACATAAGAGCCCAAACGTCTACGAAGATTGAAAAAGCATACGAACATAAGTGCAAGCGTTTATGCACTTAGACAAAAACTTACACAATGGGATAGCGACAACGGATTAAATTTCCGGAGGGATGGAGCCGTAGAAGTGTTGAAGTACTTTTGTGTATCTGAGTGTTTGTTTTGGGGTAATATTTGTTTGTGTAGCTATCCAAGGCGGTGTAGATCTTCTCGCGTAGGTGGATTTTGGCCGAAAATTACTGAAAAGGATTGGCGAAAGTAGTTAGATTATTAGATCTACGAAAAGGAATTGTTTTCTCACTGTCTCCCTGTGTCTTGCTCTCTCTTTGAGTGTGCGCGTTCCTGTGGTTCTTTGAGGAAGCGTTCGTGTGGTTCTCTGAGGAGGCAAATATTGCCCGAAGGAGGCAAAGACTGATGGGATAGGCGTGGGCGGTGGAATTGGAGATTAAAAATTGTCAACAAGGCCAGGAGTGTCTATTTGGCATGGTGATTACAAGTTCCGGCAGTTTTATGGTGGCGTCAGGCCAGCGGTTTATGAAAAATGCTCCATTCACTGTCAACTTGTGCTGCCAATTTAAAATTTGAGCACAAAAAGGAAGTAGCTTAACTGCTATCCAATCCCTAGGGCGGGGCTACCTTACCGTAAAGCCGTTAATGTAACAATTTAATAAATAACATCTCAACGGAAAGAACAAAAATAAATAAATAAATAACATCTCAACGTTACGCAGCGCTGGACCTCTTTGGCTACTAACAGGTTATTCTTTGGGAATGTGCGTGCGTTTCATAATTTTACAGAGAAACGCAAAAAAAAACAAGACGAAGAAATCTGCTCAATCGAATCAGATAAATTCATTGTATAATCACAAAGTCTCTGAAAGAATCAAAGGGGAACAATGAATATCATACGCGGCCTAATAAAAAAGAACAAAGAAACAGCAAATAGACAAATCAATAAGCTTAATCGAAAAAATCCACAAGCTAGTAGAGTATGTATCTACGGCGGGCCGAGCAATTAATCAGCGCCAATCAAAATCGCACTTCCTCGATTCATACGTACCCAACAGTGCCGTTGGATCTCAGCGGAACTCTCAGATTGCAGTTGATCTTCGGCTTCACCATGCTCGATTTCACGAACCAAAACTTCATCCTAGTCCGGAGGTAGAGCTTCACGTCGATATTGTACGCGCCATCCTCGCCGTCCCTGTTGTACTTCGACATCTCCTTATTCCCGAGCGGAAGCAAGTGCTGCTGCCCCTTGAAAACCGCGGTGACGTTTCGCGTGCTCTTGCGTCCCTGGTAGAAAGGCGGCAGGACGACGGAGTGGAACTTCTGCCCCTGGTAAAATGCCCTGGCCTCGATCCGGTCGTAGTAGATCCCTATGCGGCGGTTGGGGTTCCGGATCGTGAGGTTCACGGCGAGGTCGTAGCGGAGGGTGTGGTTGCCGTCGATGGCGAACTCGGTGAGGGAGGCATCGGTGGCGTGGAAATTGACGGTGTTCGGCTGGAAGACGAGATAGAGGACGAAGGCGACGATGCCGACGACGATGAGGATGGTGAGGATGATCTGGCAGATGCAGGTGCAGATGCAGTTGAGGAGGCAGCCGCAGCAGCAGGTGAAGGGGTTGCAGCAACAGCAGTTCAGGGATGGTTGTTTAGTTCCTCCCATGGATTTTTTTGGCTTCGGCAAAAAGAGTTGTTGTAAATTGGGATTCGATTGTGGCTTTTTGATTTAATAGGTTATATATATAAACAGATGAAGACTGAAGTCGCGTGTGTATGTATTTGTGCGTGAATTGGAGAATTGGTAAAGTGCAAGGTGGGGACGATAGGCCGCGTTTTTGTTGTTGCAGTTGGGATTGGACACGCGGCGTCATTTCATTGGCTATTGAATTCTTGCGGAATTAGGAATATTTAGGGCTCAATCTATTCGGTATTTTCGGTATAGGTAACCTTGTGAAATTAGGACTAGTGTCTGCCCCATGCACGGGAACAATATTAAATTAACAATATTATAAATAGACCTCGAGTTTGAGTTAATGGCCGAAGTGAAAACTACTATTGATCGTATTTAAAAAGAGGAAAGAAAAAAAATAATTATAAATAAAAGAGGAGGATAAACAATACTTAATAATTATAAATTAAAGATTCAGGGTCAAATGTAAAATGATTTTGTATAAGAGAATACAAAAAAATTTGATTAGACACCATTTCAAAATTATTATTATACTTTTTTGTATGATTAGCTTAGAATATTTGTAAGAATATTAATAATTAGACCGATGAAAATTAGCTTCTTAAAGTAGATAATGGATTTCTAGTAGTAATTATGAATTAGTTTCTATTTTATTTTATTTTTTCTTTTTAAAGATAATGAATTTCTAGTAGTAATTATGAATTGATTTCTATTATATTTTATTTTTTCAAATCTGTATAGATAAGAGATGAGATTTTTTAAACATATGCAATGAGATTTTGTAACAGAAGAGATAAGCTCGTGTAGATTTATACTAAAAATAGGAAAAATAAAAACAAATATTTATTGTTAAAACGATAAACTAAAAAACAGGAAAAAGAGAAACAAATCTATACAGAATTAATGAGCGGATTTTTTTGCCTATTCAGATTTGTCCAACAATTACTATATATAGGATATATTTAATGATTTTGGTGGGAAAAAGTTTCTAAATTTGTAAAAAGGTTATTCTTTTTATATAATGATAGATCTGTATAGATAAGAGATGAGATTTTTTAAACACCTAAGATCCTATGCAATGAGATTTTGTAACAGAAGAGATAAGCTCGTGTAGATTTATACTAAAAATAGGAAAAAGGAAAATAAATATTTATTGTTAAAATGATAAAAACAGGAAAAAGAGAAACAAATCTATACACAATTAATGAGCGGATTTTTTTGCCCATTCAGATTTGTCCAACAATTACTATATATAGGATATATTTAATGATTTTGACGGGAAAAAGTTTCTAAATTTATAAAAAGGTTATTCTTTTTATATAATGATAGATTTCTTTCACTAGATACATGTGGTTAATATGAATTAAAAATTACATATAAGTTTTTCTTTTTTTAAGGAGGATAAGTAGTTACATATAAGTTAACAAAAATAAAATTCATATGCTTTTTTAAGGTTTTGGTTACAATGTATTATTTCGTAGTTGAGGCCTTAACAGAGTAGTATTTGGTGATTAAGATGTATTCCAGTGTGGAAAATTTTGTAAAAATGAACGCTTAATCCCCTCTCTTATATATTAATTCAGAACGTGTTGAACTTAAATTGCAGGCTTGCATGTTTCGGGATTCTATGTGGTAAAATTACATGCTTCGACTTGGGTAGATTTTAATTTACTTTCAATCCAAAAATAATTAGATTTCCTATGTGGGTTTTAATTTACTTCCAATCCAAAAATAATTAGGTTCCCTATGTGGCAAAATTACATGCTTCGGCTGGATAGATTTTAATTTACTACAATACAAAAATAATTAGGTTTGAATTATCCATAAATATGTTGATTATTTATGGTTACGTTACATGTATTAATTTCTATTTAATATAATTTCTTATTATAACCATTGATTTAAATATATTTTAAAAGTTAATAACTTTTGTATTTTTTATCAGTTTTACATATATAATATATCAAATTAATCATCTCATGATGAGCTTCGATTTAACATCCATATTGTATGTATAAAAAATAAAAATTATTTTTTAATATTGATTAGAAATATAAAATTATTTATCAATTAAGATATTTATATTTCAAGTAGTTATAAGATATAAGTTATAAAAATTGCTATAATATAACACATGTAAGTCGCACAAGTAACAAGTGTCATTCTAAAATATATAAGAATATATATTTTTTGTAAAAAAGTAAATAAAATTTAAAATTTTTTTCTCATTAATTTTAAAAATTTAAAGTAATTTTATAACAAGTACTCGTATAATACACGGGTGTTGTACTAATGTGTGTTTAGAGAGGATGGTTGTAGGTTATTTCCATACTTGACTAATTAGTTGTGAAAAGGTGAGGATTTTCATATTTTGTACCTGTATGTGGGAATAAGAATGTTTTGTGTTGAAATTTAGGTTAATTTACAAAAAGAGTTGTGTGCGTGATATCTTAAGTTCTATTTGAAGGGAAAGCTTTTTATAGTATATTCATTAACAAGTTGGAGAAAAAGATTTTGTTTCATACTATAGAGTATAGACTAGCTAGAATATATTGAAGTATTTTTTATTTTTTTTGACTAAAATATATTGAAGTTATAAAATTGATAATATTTGTTATTCATATGTTACTAAGACGGTACCGTATACTATACATGTGCTTGAAAATATTATTATAATACAAAAATAAATATATAAAATATTTACATTTTTATTGTGAAATCATAAAATTAAATGTAAAACAAATAATGAATATTTAGTAGAATTATAACTATTTAAAATGTCACATGTTTTTTTGTCATCATATTGTAAAAAAATGTTAATTATTATAATTACATTTATAGAATTACGATCATATGAGAATAGTAGATAGTGAAAGAAATAAGAATGAATCTGTACCATTGGATCAATAATATTAATGGATATGATAAAGTCAAAATTGAATAACAATGGTCAAACCCACGGTGACATATTTGTAAATATATGTCTATTTCATGGTCAAATGAATATCTCAGAGGGCACTTGTGTAATTTCAGCTTCACCATTAACTATGTGAGCCCCACCCATCAATACATCCCCACCATCTCCATTTTATTGGTTCCCTTTGCACTCTCTCTCTCAACAAAATCCTAACACTTATATGTCTATCTCATGGTCACATGAACATCTCAAAGGCCACTTGTCTGAAAAAATTATTTTTCCTTCTTTGGGCTATCCTACCCTAATAGACACAAGTTGGACTTCTACTTCAAACAAGTTTTGGCAAAGTCTATTTTCTGGATTATAATTTCCTTCATAGCCTTTAACTTTTTGGATTCATTTAAAAAAATTCCATTAACCTCACTTTCTTTTTTGGACTGGTTTTTTGTAGGTTCTACGAGAAACATCGTCCATGTTTATATCCAAATCTATTATAAATAAATCCTAATACAACAGAATCTGTAGTTAGGATAATGACTTACGGTTTAAAGCCTTTGTCAACTTTGAGACGTTTTTTTTATTTCCATTGATGAAAATCTTCTGACCTCATCGAGTCGCTCGAAGTCCAAGTCGCGTTTCGTGTCACCTTGGGATTCGCACCATGGTCAGTGGTGTATCGGTGTCGCCTGGAGGCGCTAGAATCCTGTCAGACCGTCGTCGGTCTACTGGTGGTCGTCGGGCCCCGCTGTTGTGCGCTGCTGGTGGCTGATACTGATGAAGATAGGCAACTCAAGAACGCCTATAGTCGCACGTATCGGGCGTGCAAGCGAGTCGCTTGACTGGCCGAGACGCACGATATTGAGCAAGAACAGGTCGACCATGTTGTAGACAAGGTGCACGAGCCGTGGGGCAACGCGAGTTCACGAGACGCAGGGAGTGGTGGTGATGCAGACGGGTCGCGAGGAGACCGAGTGCAGCCAGTCACGCTGGCAGTGACGAGGATGAGCGCGACCCGAAGATGTCACGCCAGCTAGGTGGTGACGAGGATGTCTTGGGGCGCAAAGCTAGAGAAGGGCCTAGAAGCAAGGAAGTCGATTACTTCTGGATAACTTATCACTTATTCCCTTTTATTTCATTATATATTTCCTTAGATTGTTTAGGAATTTAATAAGTTTGGTATCTTTAGGATCCTAGTAGTTATTTACCTTTCATAGTTTAGGATTTTAATACCTCTAAGACTAGTTTTATCTTTGGCTTTAAATACACACATTGTTATTCCACGAGAAAGAGTTTAATTATTTATTTCCTTTTTTTTTTTTTTCGAACGATAGACTTTCCATAGAAAAATCACATAATTACACAATAGAGAGCAGCTAGACAGCCGAATAAGTCAGCTATTCAGCCGAATCTAGTTGGGAGGGCTAACCCCAAAGGCAACAAGCCGAGACAACCTAGAACCAACCTAAACACATCACAACATACTCACCCACAATACAAGAAGAAAAAAAACTCCTAAGGGGAGAAAAACTTACTCCTAACAGGAGAATAATTAACTCCTAGCAGGAGAATCGAAACCTAAACAAACTCAAAACCAAACCATACAAAACACAAAACACACAAGAACACACAACTAACAAACACTAAACAACCTAAAAACCACAAAAATACATAACAAAACACCAAACCAAATAACAAAACTACTAACTACTAGGCCCTCCCCAACCACTTGTGCCAAACAGGTAGCCCTCGAGATTACCAGAAGCAGTTTGAGCGATTGGCGAGCCGCTTACGAGACTGGCCGGAGGGTGCACTTGTCGGGGCCTTTGTGGGGGAATAAAGCCCGATCTTACGACTGAAGTCCGTCTAGAGAAGCCCAGGACGATGCGACATGCCATGGAAGCTACGCGCATGAGGGACAAACATCTGGCCGCAGTGCGAAGGGTAGCACGCGGAGACCCACGATTTCAGAACCGCGCCGAGTTGTGTCGATCGCTTCTCCCATCAATCGGGGCGTGAGAGGGTTATTGTAATACCCCATATTTTAGTAAGTCAGTAAAAATGATTTACCGCAGTAAAC